ATTTTTTGATTTAAGTAGAAAAATGAGAAAACGGCTCCTTTTTCGTTTTTTTGTTTTTTTCCAAAAAACGAAAAACGAGAATTCAGCTTAAGTTTTCATTTTTCGTTCATGGGTGGAAAAATTAATAAACAGCTTGAATATTCGATTTCTACATGTGGGCGGGAATTAAACGCCCCTTTCTGCTGATTCGTCAGCCGAATATCAAACTGTGCCTTCATCAGTTCTTCCGCAATATCACGCAGCAGAATAATAGTCCTCCACTGCTGCAGTTGTATGGATTCTTAACGCATTCGAACGAAAAACTAAAATTTAAGCTGAATTCTCGTTTTTTGTTTTTTGGAAAAAAACTAAAAAGGAGCCGTTTTCTCATTTTTCTACTTTCAATATTAAATAAAAAACGAATGATCGAATGATACACGTGTATCATTCGATCATTCGTTTTTTGATTTAATATTGAAAGTAGAAAAATGAGAATTCAGCTTAAATTTTCATTTTTCGTTCATGGGTGGAAAAATGAATGAACAGCTTGAATATTCGATTTCTACATGTGGGCGGGAATTAAACGCCCTTCTGCTGATTGGTCAGCCGAAGATCAAACTGTGCCGTCATCAGTTGTTCTGCAGTATCACGCAGCAGATTAATTTAATAATAATTATTAATAATTTAATTAATGAATGTCAGTGTCACTTACCTGATAACTTGAAAATCCCCAAAATATTATTACGGTTAAAATATGTATATATTTAATGTGCCTACAAACAATTATCTTGATGGGGGAGGAGTCATTTAGGCTGTGCTCAGGGACAGTGCACATTAGCTATCATTCTAAGTTCATCAACAGCAATCACAATGGAGCACAGCTTAAAAAGTAAAAAGCATAAAACTTAAGACACATCTCTGAAAAGCTCAGAGGAGGGCAATAACACAAGTCAACAGTCTCTGCTGGAATCTGAAATTACAGATTGAAAGGAAGAACTGCTCTTTGTCATCCCCTGGGAAGAACAAATGGCAGTTGCTAGATGTAATAAACTGAGTGGCACAGCCTTCAGCACCCTTACCAACAACTCATTTGACTCTCATGATCTAAGTATGTCAGCCAACAGCACTACTCTCCTAAGGACCTATTCTGGCAATATCCTGGTACAGGTACAATCTTTTAACCGCAAGTGGTACAAGGACTAAAATTGACTAGAACATTTTGTTTTGTGTGCAGACATCTTTCATGCCCATCAGGCACAGAAAGAGAGTGCTTGATGGGCATGAAAGATGTCTGAAATGGATGGCCCTTGAGTGAATAAAAGTAGTACAAGAAAATAGGAAATACATGCAAGCAGTTGCTGAATCGTCTGCCAGGCAATTGCACAAAGAAGTCAAAGAAAAAAGGAGAATTCTGCCGACTAAGGCAACTTTATTGAGCTTTTGCATCTTATTGGTAAATTTGTTGGGGGAAAAAAATACTTGACAGTCCCCAATATGCACACAACACAATATACTGAACAAGTTAATTGAATTAAATAGGCAAATATGGTGAGAGAGCAAGTATTGGCTGTTGATGAGATTGGACTGTTTGCCTTAATAGTCGATGAAAGCAAGCATGTCAGCAAAAAAGAGCAGGTGTCTGTGGTAACACGTTATTTGCACAGTGGCTTTGCATTAGAGGAACTCCTTCATTTTACTCCAGCCAGTTGATTAGATGCCAAATCGCTCTGGAAAATGATCAAACAGGCATTACGTAAATTCAATACTGACCACTTGCATTGCGCAGTGCTATGATGGTGCAGCAGTTATGTCTGCCTGTCACAATGGTGTAGCAGAAAATTTCAGAAAAGATGTCCCACAAGCATTGTACATTAACTGCCATGCACTCTGCATAAACCTTGTTTTGGTGGACTTTGTTAAAAACATACAGCCTGTGGATGAATTCTTTGAAGATGCGCAGATGCTGTATCATTTTTTTTTTCAAGCTCTGTTCCTCATGATCTCTTCTGGGAAAAAAAAAAAAAAAAACACCGGATAGCGAGCCATTGCAAGCTCCACTTGAACTAAAAAAAACCTACCTGAAACAACTCTTATTGACAACTAAAAAAAACCTACCTGGAACAACTCTTATTGACATAATCAGTCAGTCAAAACAGTCAGTGTATTAAGAAAGGGGCAGTCCTTTTGTATTCTAAATAAAGTATTTATTGTACAAAACATGATCAAACAAAAAACAAGGACAGAAATGATGATGAAGTTTTCTTATTTGCATGAAAACCAAACTACTTCACAATTTCTCTACACAACATAAAGAGTGGCTGAACATGACTAAAATGAGTAGGTAAATCTTCAAAGCAGAGAGTCTGTCAACACTATGTAGAATGTTTTCATTTGGATTTTTTTTCACATTTACAAATCACAATTCTTATTTCGCCACATATTGTATGACAAAAACATTGAGAACATTATATTATACAGAAGTTTTGAATTGTACAACTTAACAGGGTGATGGCGTATGATCTACATATCATACTTTCCATTCTTTGTGTCCTTAAAGGACCTTAATATAGAGACCCTGTGGCATTTTAGAAGACTTGTACATTATTCAAGTAATAATGTTCTAAAAAACATTGAACTGAAATGGCAAGAGTAAAAATTCTATGATGCAATTAAATGCATTTGTATTTTGACCATAAATATAAAGGATTTATCAAATTTGTCAATTTTAATTTCATAGCAAGGTTTCAAACTGTTTTGATGAGGTAGCTTTTTACTTATTTTGTGACCAATTTAGTTTTCAATAGAGATAATTTCTTGTGGCCCATATAACCTTGTTTCTGCTGTGAGCCTAGTTATGTTCATTGCTAGTTAATACTAAATTCCAGTCCTTTGTAATCTGCATTCTCATGGTGCATAGCCACTTTTTTCAAGCCACAAACTATACTTGCCAAAACTTAACATTCTAGATAACATCTGATTTGAAAGTCAAGGCTTTATAGAGTTCAGTTTTGTGGATTTGATAGTATTACAAAACAGCAATTTAAAACTTCAGGCATCGGTCAGTTTTGAAATTTTAGATATGATTTGTTTTAGATTGGGCCAACAACTGGTTTCTGCTTCAGCAGAAATATTTCAAAGGCATAAAGACAGATATGGTGGATGGACTATACCAGGCGTGGCGAACGTCGGTCCTGGAGAGCCGCAGCCCTGCAGAGTTTTGCTTCAACCCTAATCAAACACACCTGAACAAGCTAATCAAGGTCTGAAGGGTTACTAGAAAGCTACAGGCAGGTGAGTTTTAATTAGGGTTGGAGCTGTACTCTGCAGGGCTGCGGCTCTCCAGGACCGGAGTTCGCCACCGCTGGACTATACCTTCTGTAAACTCTTTAGACATTATTTAGTTATTAAAATCCATCTACAAGTTCTTGTGCTTGAAAAGGTCAAATAGAAATGGAAATAAAAATTCCTCTTGCCATTTACTTCCCATAGTGCAAAATTTATTGTTGGTAAGTAGAGCGCCCAAAATAATCTTTTATACCCTTCAGCACCATCCCACTGCCATCCTTTTTGTCTTTTTCTCTTTTGTGATATATACATATATTACTTAGATTTAGTGTAAGAAGGCTCCTCTTTTATCCAACATCATAGTGCTTTTGTTTTCAACAAAGGGACATATTTGAAGAATAGAAAAAGATTTCTATTCTACTGCACCACTCCCCCTCTCCATCCTTTGCTTTTTCAGCACTCCCAGAGTTTACTGTACCATTAAAGTTTGGTAAGGGAGAGGGAATGGTATTTGATTAAATACAACTAAAGTTAAATGAAATTACTTTTCTCTAAATTGGAGAATCTACAAAGGATATGGTACTGCTGTGATCCACAGTGACATCTGTTCTTTTTATTCATGTAAATACGTGTGCCAACATAGTGACCTATATGTTACTGTATTCAGTACAGCTAAAAACTTATCTGTATTCAGTACAACTGCATATAGCCATGAACATGTTTTATTTTGGTTTACCTTGACACTGATTTATTGATAACAGACTGTTAAGGCAGAGTTTAGGTAAGCAGAGTCATTTCTGAAAATAACATGTAAAATTTAAGTTCATGGGAAACATTATTTTTACACAAATGACTATTAATTTACTGTGTGTGGGTGAGAGACACTCTTTTCACTTCTTTTTCAATAAATAATTTATTTTTGTTAAAATTTTTTTTGTTATGATGATTTTGTCGATCACAGATGCTGAAACACATGAATAGTACTACATCATAAATTCATGTGTTTAAAATAAACGGTTATGTTCCTTTTCTCCTTAAAAGTGGTAGAAATAAAAATGTCTTCATTTCTTTTCCTTTGTAATTTTCATGAGTAAAAAGAGGATCAAAGTAGTCATGAAAGGGTGCCTAGACTATTTGGAATGTCGCACCATAGTGGAAGCAGCTTTAGTGGAGGGTGCGGGGTGCATTTGTCTCCTGTCATTTCTTTAATGCATAACATTAGCATTGAAGTACAATAAAAATACATGTAGGAAACCTAGAATAAGTCTTAGTATGCTGGCTTAAACACTTTGGACTCAATGTCAAAATCTTTCTCATAACTGAAAGATGCATATATATGCAAATAATAATTAAAAAATATATAATAATATTATACATTCCTAAAAGATAGATCAACACTAATAACTCCACAAGTGTTTTTTCTTATGTTCTACTATATCTTGCACTACATTTTATATACTGTATATACTGTATGTATGTATGTATGTATATATATATATATATATATATATATATTATAAGCCAAATATTTGGTAGAACTAAAATTCAGATTCAAATAATGTGAGAAATTAGGATCCTGGACCTAAGAGTGTTCTACTGGACTTATGAAAGAAACAACAAATGTGTTTTTGTTCTATGTACATTATGTAGTATTCTTTCCAAGGAATGTAAGGAAAATATAAGGAAATTGCAGAGACTTGCAGGGACTTGCATCCCTAACACCCTCCTTCCATCACTTCCCCTTAGCTCAACCAAAACACATAATTCTATGAACAGCCACAACGGTCCACCACCATTCCTGGGATTTTGCCATGGATTATCTGTTGTTTATCATTGAAGTACAGCATGTTTATCGGCGACATCTTCGTGGGTGTGCAGCATGGCCCTGCCGAGCCTCTAGGATTGGCATGCTGAACCAGATGAGTATGTGGGTACTTCTGCATGAACATGTACTCACACTGGCCTGAACAGTAGTTTGCCTTGTAACGTTTGGGTGCAATGATCCAGTCCCAGCCAAAAGCTTCAAAGTCCACTGTGAGCGGGTAGCGACAACAGCGGGATTCTGTGGAGTGCTCATCACAGTCAAGACCCAGATTTCTCCGTGAGCGCTTGGTTGTTTCAAGAACCTTGACCTCCAGGTACTGTATGTATGTATGTATATATATATATATATATATATATATATCTTCCATTTTGAAACTGTCCCCTAACCAGCCATAATTCAACAAGTTTCCAGCATCAAGTATTTTTATTTTTTTTCTCTGAATGTGTAATACTGCAAAAAGCAACAAAATCACAGACAATGAGAATATATTTGATGTAGAGCGAGATTTTGGACCTGAATTTCAGAACTACCCAGCGCAATTCATCTAAAATAAAAACCTAAAAAACCAAGGTTTGTTGTGTGTTGTGTGTGTGTGTATGTATATATATACAGTGGGTACGGAAAGTATTCAGACCCCCTTAAATTTTTCACTCTAATTACAGGAGGAAGAAGACATACAGAGATGGGTCAAGCACCCTCTATAACAGCAGTCTCAAATTCATCTGAAGTGACAAAGCTAAAAATTTTAACCTTTGGTTTAGTACAATGATTATTGTTTCCACTATAGCAGTATTTTTGGTCTAACAGGTCTAAGGGTCCTTACCAGTCCTTCCTCTCCAGGCCGCAGAGATGTCACAGCCAGGTCATTGCCACTCTCATCATAGGCATTTATATCAATGCCCCAGTTTGTGTGTGGCTGCTTGAACCAGTTCTGCAACACATGCTTGAAATCAATGCTCTGCCAATGACCCGCTTGCGAACTGAGCTCTATTTTGAGTGACCGGATACGGATGTGTCGGCTTCCTTGCTCAGTGATAGGTTTAAGGCGAAGGATCTGCAAGTAAACAGTGGAAGTTTGCTGTAGTGGCCGCAGATAAACCCACAGCTGGGCTTTCAGGACCTTGGTAAACATCAGTTTTGGACTGAACTTGAAGAAACAACAGCTGGGTTTCCCATCCACCTGCACCAGAGGTTCAGCTGAAGGAAACAAAATAAAATGCTATTATTCACTGAAATTGCATTTAAAATGGTCAAATAGTATGACAGTATGATGAAGCAAAACAATAGAAATCTAAAATAGAAATATAGCTGTAGCAACTTCAGGAAAACAATGTGTGGTGGACACATGCATTTAACCCGTTCTAGTCTTCAGATGCTGCCGACCAAACATTTTTACATTTTACTGTACTGGAATGGTATGAAACTTGGTGCCAATGGTCGTACTTGCAATATGAACGTACAAAAAAATATGACTGGAAAGGAATAAATGGTCCTAAAAAATAGTCATACTTCTATTCTTAGTGGTCTAAAATGACCTCCATAGGAAAGGAATGAGAAATTTAAAAAAAAAGAAAGAAAAAAGAATGTAATAAAATACACAGCCTTTTAACTACATGCATATTAACTACTGTGACTGTAAAAAAAATAGCATTTTTTAAAAATAAAAACAATTCAGCCACAAAACTTCAAGTGTAAAAGACAGACAAAGAGAGAGAGAGAGAGACAGAGAGAGAGAGAGAGAGACAGAGAGAGACAGAGAGAGAGAGAGAGAGAGTCTTACACATAATGCAGAAAATGAAAACAGAATAAAATGTTTTTTCTAATATATGAAATGTGTCTTACACAATGCATAAAATGAAAACAGAATAAAACGTTTTTTCTAATATGTGCATTATTTTACATATAAATAAAGGGTGCATAATTAAGAGGTGAATATTGTTTAGTGCCATGATTTGATCTGTAATGTGTCTTACACATAATGCATAAAATGAAAACAGAATAAAACTTTTTTTTCCCTTCTAATATATGCATTATTTTACATATAAATAAAGGGTGAATAATTAAGAGGTGAATATTGTTTATTGCCATGATTTCCTAGAAATTACAAGAGGATTAGCCTATGTCAGTCACTTGAACGTGCACACTTCCTGCACACTTCCTTCCATGTGAATGCATCTCAATTTAATATAAATCAAACAATGCACTTAATTTTTTTATTAATCCCTCAACATGGCAAATCTTTTCACAGTTTAGCATTTTCAGTGTCTTGGCAAGTAGACAAAGTTTGGTGTGATAAACCTGAAACCGTTATACACCCTGTAATAAACCCTGGAATAATGGGGGGAGGGGTAGACTCGCTCTTTAAATGAGTCTACTCCTCAAGATTACTGTTATAAACATGAGCTGCGTCCAAAAGGTGAAGGGGGAGGTGTTGCTACAATTTATAGTAATATTTTCAGTATTTCTCAGAGGTCTGGTTTCAAGTATAATTTGTTTGAAATGATGGTAATGGTATATGGTATACAAGTGTTAATGTGGCGTTTGTACTGGCTACTGTATACAGGTCACCAGGGAACCATACAGACTTTATCAAAGAATTTGAGGATTTTCTATCTTAGTTAGTGCTGGCTGCAGATAAAGTCTTAATTGTTGGTGATTTTAATATCCATATTGATAATGAAAAAGATGCATTAGGATCAGTGTTTATAGACATTCTGAACTCCATTGGGGTCAATCAACATGTGTCAGGGCCTACTCATTGTTGTAATCACACTTTAGATTTAATACTGTCACATGGAATTGATTTTAATGGCATTGAAATTCTGCAGCAGAGTGATGATATCTTGGATATCATCTAGTCTTGTGTATACTCCATATAGCTAAAGCTGCAATTTCAACTCCTTGTTACAAATATGGTAGAACCATCACAAAAGACTGCTTTGTAAATAATCTCCCTGACGTGTCTCAATTCCTCAGCAAATCCAATAGCTCAGAAAAACTTGATGTTGTAACAGAAACTATGGGCTCTCTCTTTTCTAACACTTTAGATACAAAAGATTAAGGAAAAGAGTCAGACACCATGGTATAACAAGCACACTCACACCTTAAAGAGAGCAGTCTGGAAAATGGAGCGCAGCTGGAAGAAAACAAAAGTAGGTATTTCATATTGCAGGGAAAGGAAAGTACTTCTACTTATAGAAAAGCTCTAAAAACGGTTAAATCTGCTTACTTTTCGTCTCTTTTATAAGAAAACAAATACAACCCCAGGCATTTATTCAATACAGTGAAAATATTAACCAAAAATAAAGCATCAACAGACGCAGACATTTCCCAATAGCACAGCAGTAATGGCTTTATGAACTTCTTTACTTCCAGGATCAATACTATTACAGATAAAATTCTGACAATGCAGCCATCAGCTGCAGATTATCCACTATAGATCCCCTGAGGAACAATTCCATTCATTCTCTGCAATAGGAAAGGAAGAATTGTATAAACGTCAAATCATCAAAACCTATAAAATGTACGTTAGACCCTATTCTATCTAAGCTACTAAAAGAGGTGCTTCCAGAAGTCATAGATCCTCTTCTGAATATTATTAATTTGTCAATGTCATTAGGATATGTCCACAAAACCTTCAAATTGGCTGTTATTAAGCCTCTCATTAAAAAAACACAACTTGATCCTAAAGAATTAGTTAATTACACACCAATCTCAAATTGGACTGCTCTCATCAGAGTTACAAATGCCCTGCTCTTATCATTCGATTCTCTATTAGTGCTACTGGATCTTAGCAGTGTGTTTGACACTATCGACCACAACATTCTTTTGAGTAGACTACAGAATTATGTTGGCATTGGTGGAATTGCATTTGCATGGTTCAAATCTTACTTATCTGACCATCATCAATTTGTAGCAGTGAATGAAGAGGTATCATATTGATTGCAAGTACAGCATGGAGTACCACAAGGCTCAGTACTTGGACCGCTGCTTTTCAGTTTTCATGTTACCTTTGGGAAATATCATCAAGAAACATGGGGCCCCATTTATAAAATGAGTGTACGCACAGATTTGATCTTAGAGTGTGTGTACGCTAAAATCCACGTTCATATTTATAAAAACGTCTTTGACGTGGAAAAATACTTACCGCCACATCAGGGTCTGAGCAGGCGTACGCACTTTTCCTTGTGGCAAAGTCGGAGTACTGCAGCTATTTGAACATCTAAGCTGCAATAATAATAAAAGCGGTGTACGTGCAAGCACTGAATTCATCATAAACAACAAAGATGCAGTGTAAGAGATTAATTGTGCAGTGTAGTCAGATTTATTAATGGGAGTTTTTGCGAAGATTAAACTGACCTTTTTAGTAGCCTAATGTTGAGAGTTCTTTACTCGCTTTCTGTACACAGTTTATTCCATGTTTTTTTTTTTTTTTACTATTTTATTTTACAAGAGAACTTGCAAAGTCTTGATTTACTACTAATGCATAAAATAGAAAAAAAAATGCATAAATACATCTCCCACTGTTTTGTCTGTGTAGCCTGTTAGAATAGGCCTATGTCGTGCAATAACGGTTTTAATATATTCTATTCAAGAACATTGCTAACCGTTTTTATTTATAACAGCTGCTTTGTTTCTGTGAAAATGAATAGACATCAGCCTTAAACTTTGTTTTTGCATTTACATCAGTTATACTTGTATAAAATACACTATATATTAGGGCTGCCCCCTAATAGTCGACTAATCGTTAGTCGACCAGAAGAGACTTGGTCGACCAAAATTTTTTAATCGCTTAAAAAAAACACATTGGCAAAGTCACGCAGATCGTTAACGGCTGATATATGGTAATACAGTAGCCTACATCTGGCAGGACATCCAAACGCTCGCCTATCAATCATCCACCACAAATATGGCTTATC